TTCAGGTGATGAAAACATACCTGTGAACATTATATTACCTTTCTGACAATAATAGTTTATTATTATTATTTAAACATTTAAAAATTCCCACAAAGGAAACTAAAACCACAGATTGGAGTCCTGATCCACCTGTGTATTTAATCTGAATTTATTCCGACATTAACAACCAGCAGAAGAGACGTTCGCTGGTGTTTTCACTGCGTCTGGTCCCTCAGTGTTTTATTAGCCGGGTAGTGAATATGATTACAAGCTCTCATCCTCCAGTTTCTTTTATTTTTTGCTAATTGCTGCATAATAGAAGCATAATCCCCCACATTCATTAACAAAGGCTGAAAATTAAGTGTTGGCACCACATCTGCTCCCGAGCCCTCGGCGTCTGTAAATACGTGTGAACCGGCGCCGCCCGGCTCTCTTCGTTATTGCTTTACTATTTCCATTATCTTATATTACTGCTGAGAAAAAGCATTATAATCACCGAGCAGGGAATTAAAAAATTAGCACAAAGCTGCGGCGCAGGAGTGCTGCTGGTGTCTATTTGTGGCGGCAGAGAGGTGTTTTTTTCTTTCTGTCGCAGTCACCTCCTAGAAAAGGTGAAAATTGCACCCGGGGGGGAACAGCTTTGAGTCGGGGAGGAGGGATTCACCCCATCCTCTTTGTCTCAGTCGCTGGCTTGTCCCCAAAAATCCACAACTGTACCACGAGAGCTGGTTGCTGCAGAGGACGGAGACGGAGACGGGGCCTCCAGGAGCCTCCGGGGGCCTCCGGGGACGAACAGGCTGAATCCAGAGAATCCACACGTGTTCAGGCGACACACGGAGGCAGAAACATCGGCAGTAAACAGGAAAAGGAAAAACAAACTGTTACTTTCAGGGTGAGAAAAGAGCAAACGTGTCTGAAAATCCGTCAGGATGCAAACGTTGGTCAGACTCAAACATCTGTTCAACACAGCTGCTGCAAACGGTTCCTCCCGGTCCGGGTTCCTGCCGCACAAATATCTGCTGATCACAATCACATATATTAATGTCTGCTTGGAAAAGCTCCAGAATGAAGATATCTGAACTCAAACACATTAACAGATGCTCACATCAGCGTCTAAAGGGTTTTAAAAAGTCTTAATCAATAAAATTCTGAAATAAACTTGTTGTTTTTTCGAAGACACAATGAGTGGATTTTGATATAAAAATAAATTAAGTTTTTGTTTTGTTGTTGTCACACATTGTTGAACCTTTGAACCATATAAGTGAGGGTGAGATCTTAAAGAGTTATAAATGAATCTGACGGACTGTAAAGTAGGACTGCTGTTGCTGTTACGCTGTTATGTGTGACCTTATGCAGTTCTACAACCACTCAGCTAACGTTCAGAGCGCCGTATGAAAGACACGGTGAGTTTTTGAATTGATATTTCCTGAATTATAAAGCAGAATTAAAATGATTTGATGTTGATGTTTGTTCAGATAAAACTCTGCGTGCTCCGTCCCTGCTGACTGAATGTGAGCATACAGTCGGCTCTGTTGTGGCTCTGCTGCTGGATAATAACTGCACAGAGCTTTCATTAGCAGATCCACAGCGGCTCATTAGGAGCAGGATGACGGGCTAACAGTCTGTAATCGCCTGCTGTTTGAACACTAATGGCTCTGCTAACCTCTGATCCATCACTCAGGTACAGCACACCTGCGTTTACCTGCCCCCCCGCTGCTGAGCGACTCCTGCCGCCGTGTTAAAAGTCGCACCGGTAACCGCTGAACACGCAAATGAGGAGAGAAGAGGAAGTGAGAGAATATGTGGTGGTAATGTACAGATAACACAGTCAGACCGGGAGGAGGGCCGTGATCTCGCCTCCAGCTGGAAACACTTCCTGTCAGTATGTATTCATTTCTGTATCTTGTTGTTTTAATTAAAGACGACTCGAGATCTTCAGAGTTCCAGATTTATATAAATACTGAATATTGTACAAACACACGGTACCGCCGGGTCTGAAACCGGTTCCTAAATGTACAGACAGCCTAAAACAACCCTGTTGAACTCCAGAGCACCCCCGGAGGCCGACCAGCACATAACAACAGCAGAGACCGGAACAGAACCACCAGACCAGATCCAGCAGGGTCCAATAACAGAACCACCAGACCGGATCCTGCAGGGTCCAATAACAGACGGCTGATTCATATAAAACCTGCTCCAGTTCTTCTTCAGGGCAGTTGATCCCTCACAGGCTTCCCACCAACACACACAACGAATATGTTTCAATGATGGAAAAGTTTTTACCCCCGAAGCTCCAAACACGGAACCACTGGACCCTGAGTACCGTCTGCAGGCGTACAGTTACAGGACAATGGCGCCTTTCTTTCGGAAATGAAAACAAGACCCAACAATAAAAATTAAACCTTAAATTTGAATGTTTCTACAATGAAATAATAATAATTATGTTATTTCGTTAAGATGATTAAAAGACAAATACTGAATATATACGGTCACATCTTAAGTTAGCTAATGTTAGCTGTAACTGGTTAGTTAATGTTTGTTACAGAGTAAAAAGCACTAGATAACTAACTAACTAACTTAACTTAACTAGCAGGCTAATGATTGATGTGGATTATCCAGCTAGTTAGCAAGTGTTTTACAACATTAGTTAACTAATGATGTGACTACATATAAACGTCTCTTATCTTTTAACCAAGTTGACTGAGGCTAGCTCAACTGCTATTGGAGCACAGAGCAAAAAGGGGCGGGACTTAGGAAAAGGTTCATTCTCATTGGTTCTGCAGCAGGTCCCTCATGGAGGTTTAACGTCCCATCAACTGTAAATGTGAATCAGACTCTGAAGCAGTTTATAAAAAATACGTTTTCAACAAAACTTTAAAAACAAATCAAAAATACTTTAAAATAACATTTCTCCAAAATAAATACAGATTCTCTCCGTTTGTGAGGTCGTTCAGCAGGTCGACCCGAACCGCGACCTCCAATGAAACTTTAGGACAACAGAGACAGTCATCCTCATCCTCCTCTCTGTCTTTTAAATCACTTCTCATAACTTACATTAGAATTAATGACAGTAATTATACATTTTAAATTATAATTTCCAACAATATAAAGACAGGTTGGATTAAAACTCTCTGCTACTGATTAAATTAGTCAATCTCACCACGACATCTTTTAGTATGGGTTCTGGACCTTTTGATCAGATCACATGATCTTCAACAGAGACCAGACTCCATTGAGAAAAACACTCATTTTACCTTCAGAACTGCTGTTTGGTTTATCATCTACGTCGGGGTGAATTAAGGATTGTATTTCCACCAAACAGAGTCGGTTGCATTTGTTGGAAACACTAACAGGAGTGATTGCGGTTTGAATCAGTTTTTAGTCTGTGTTCTGTCCACGTGTTAGTGAGAGTTACGATGAGTTGCTGGAAGCTAACAAAAACAGA